ATGCAGTATGAAAGAAGGAGCAAAATACCACACCAATCCATCTGTTCCGCACTGGAGGGTTGTCTTAGTGCTATAAACACTAGGCTCACAATTTGGGCATGAAACTATTGCTATGTCTACACTGTGAGCCAGGGTTGGATTCCCCTGCTCATGTACTCACATTCACACTAGCTCTCTGTGAGCTAGCGTGAATACAAATAGCAATATAGCCTCTGGAGCATGAGTACCAGCAGCAGAGGCATGACTGAGACTAGTACAAATCTGCCTAAAACCAGTGGGTATGTACTTGGCATGGCTCACCCATGCCTCTGCTGCCACTACCCGTGCTGCCGCAGCTAGACTGCTGTTTATACTTGATAAGAGCTAGCACAGGTACATGAGCAGAGGACTCACACCCCCGCTCGTATTATAGGTGTAGCTTAAAATACTAAAATGCCAGCACATCCTGATTTCCACTTGCCAGGGAAATGCGACCGACTCCCCCAGCATCCTAAGTGGCAGCTTGTCTGTAATGAGTCCTGCCCAACACCACCCAGATGGCCTGCCACCTGATTACATGTTGATTTATGGCACCAAATCCCAGCATCACTCAGTTACTGCTGGGTTGTATTGTTTCCCTCTGCGACTCTATGTCTGGCTGAGTGGTTCAGTAGTACTCAAGAGATTTGGGTTCTATTCTTGGTTCTGCCAGACCTTCTCTGTGCCCTCAGACAAGGCTTTTTCCTCTCTCTGTGCCTCTGTTTCCCCTCCCACCTATTGTCTGCCTTGTCTACTAGGACTCTTTCAGGAATGGGCTGTGTTTTATTATTTACAGCGTTTGTGCTCAGCTGATAGAAGTGTTGTACACTGGATATGGTGCTAGATCAGGAGCTCTGTGTTTTAATCCTATTGACCCCTCTATAGCGATCTATTCTCTCTGTCAGGATAGACAGGCTTTGACTACTTGGTTCAACTCTGACCGTTGGTGTAAAGGTGCTATTCTATATAAAACATATTCTGGGGGCTATCAGCTTTGCTGCTTACTCAGTTTTACAAACCCACAGCTTCCCTTTGATACTGAAATGAAAATGAATGTAATAGAATGAATGGGTTTGAAATTATGGTATTATTGGACAATATTAGTGTTCCCCACTCTTTCTTAACTGTAAGTTTCCAATTTTCTGCGTAAATTGTTTTTGAAAGAAAATTGAGATTTTCAATTAATTGGGTTTTGAATTAATCATAGACTCATAGACTTTAAGGTCAGAAGGGACCATCATGATAATCTAGTCTGACCTCCTGCAGGCCACAGAACCTCATCCACTCACTTCTGTAATAGACCCCTAACCTCTGGCTGAGTTACTGTAATCCTCAAGTCATGGTAATCAAATTTTCATAGAAAGCCTCAGCTATCTTCATGTATGAAAACTGAAAAAACATTTTTGGGGGGTGAATTTAGAATGAAAATTTTCAATTTGCTGCCATTTTTAGCTGAAAATTATTTTTTATTGGTTGCCAAAATTTGAAAATTTGGGGATTTTTGGGACTTATTTGGAAGCTCATTTTTTCTGATAAAAAAAAATTCTGACAGACTCTAGATGTTTGAATTGATAGCTAACATCCAGAGCCGGCTCCAGGCACCTGCTTGGCAAGCAGGTGCCTGGGGCGGCCACTTCGGAGAGGGGCAGCACGTCCAGCTGTTCGGCGGCAATTCGGCGGACGGTCCCTCACTCCTGCTCGGAGCGAAGGACCTCCCGCCGAATTACCGCCGCAGATCGCGATCGCGGCTTTTTTGTTTGTTTGTTTGCTTGGCTGCTTGGGGCAACCAAAACCGTGGAGCCGGCCCTGCAAACATCTAACAGAGTTCTATTTGTAATTCATATTTATATTCTTAAAATTGCCCTGTATATTAATATCCTGACATATTGAATTGAAAGAGCAAACTTACTGTGTTAGTCTCTGTGGATTTTTTCCCAGATTGCGAAGCATTTCAGTCTCCAATGCTAGGAATCATTGGTGTCTATCTATCTATCTATCTATCTATCTATCTATCTATCTATCTATCTATCTATCTATCTATCTATCT